CTTTAGATTTGATGGATTATTTTATTCCCATAAAAAATCGAGTCATCTCTAAACCGAAAATCAGAGAATGATGACTCACTTTGTTTTTTCAATAATCATACAATAATATTTCATCATACGAACATAAACATAACCTCTGAACGTTTGTATTAACACATTTCATTCTAAAGAAATCATTTGCATACTTTAAGATAAAATAAATTGTAATTTAAAAAAGTTTTCGAGTATACAATTTTTACATTTTTAATATAATTTACTCGATTTTTCAATTAAGAACAAACGAAAAAAAATAATAATAATAATTAATGTATGCAACACACAACGTTTCATGAAAAACAAGTTAAAATCAGAACGTTTTATAACTTCCGCAAAATCATAACTTCCATTTCACGGCCACTCGAAATTATCTATAAATATCATCATTTTATATTCATCGGGATGATATCACTATAGATGCTTAAATGTTTTTACCTATAAGTTGTATTAAAATAGATAGAGACATTGCAATTAAAAATAATTTACAGATAAACAGAACCTGAAAAATATAGCAAAACCATTATCATTATTTCTTGTTTAATAAGAGAGATAAATAGTACGTGATGTGAAGAAAAAACAATGATCAAAAGTGATATATCATCGGAAAGAGGGCATTCACGAATACAATTCATGAATCGTCACGTGATATTTTCTTCTTGGAGAAAAAATATATAATCACATGATCTCTAATCATTGAATACCGCTTGAAAACCATTATCTCCTTTAATTCTAAAATTATTATTATTATTATTATTATTATTATTATTTATAATTCAACTTTGGTTTATAATTCAAAACTTATAACTTCAGAAATAACTTATCATATCAATTATATCAATTTATAAAATGACTAATGCAATTGAGATTTAAGAGAAACAAAAAATAAAAAAGATATTCTATATCACGTTTGTTTGTTTGTTTTTTTTTTTTTTTTAATGATTAATAGATACGCGTTGAAAGCACGAGGTGTTAATATCAATTACACTGACCTATCCAATAGCCGGCTAGATGAGAGTAGCCATGCGTGTACCCATGAGCGAGTAAATCGTGGCATTGCACGTTGCACCGGTTGCAACGAGGCGTTGCACGCTGCGTGCCGCGCACGGGGAACACGCAACCAAGGAACAAGGCTTGCGCCAGACAGTCTGTTGCACAACTTAGGTATTGATCTTGGCCGGAACTAGTTTCCGTTTCCGTCTTCTCTTCCCGGCGTTTCGCCGTTTATTTCAACTCAATTCAGGCAAACCTATCAGCTGAGTTGCAATTTGCAATTTCTAATCCTTCGTCGAACTATAGAAAAATTAAAAAAATTAAAAAAAAAAAAGAAATAAAAGATTCTAGACAAGCTTTTAAATCAAATTTTAATATCAAATAGAAATTATCGCGACGAACTGTTGTAAATCGATTGCAACTATTATTACTTTACTGATCTCGGTTTTAAAAACGATCATCGCGCCATCTACGAAATCGTTTTATATTACGTTTGTGTTTTCTATATGTTTCTTTTTTTCTTATAATTAATCGGATGTGTGCATGCAAGTTTAATTAATTAATAGTAAAATCTCTTATCTTCGAATCAAATGGTTTCTAGTTCCGGCTCGCATTTTTTTCGTTCGCCATTCGTTTTTCATTCGCGAACAATCGAGCTGCAACGAGGAGACCGCGGGAGTACATTGCACCGGTGGGGTATTGATCTCGCTCGCGAGTGTCTTTTTTTGGTTCCTGTGCCCCCTTATGCGAGCTTCCTTTTTAAACTTTCAATCCTCGATCCTTGCCCTACCTTACCGGCTGCGAAAAACATAAAAAAATTTGATTTTTCTTATCCGATCAAACTCTGTCGATCAAACTTCCTCGCTTATTTCTTTTTAATATTATTTATTTATTATTATTATTATTATTATTATTATTATTATTATTATTATTATTAATATCAATTAAGACACTATATATAAGCTTTACTATCTTTACTTCAAAGATATTAATTTAGAGAAATTGAATATTTGCTATAATATTTCTTAATCGAATTTTGATTTAAGAATAAATTCATTTATGCATATGTATGTGTTTATATTTTATAAAAAACCATTATCGTAGTAGAGAAAAGATAAAGAAAAGTTATTTCATAAGAAGCAAATCTAAAATTTCTTCAAAACGTGTTCTTTTTTGTATGAAACAATCACTAATGATAAGTTATCGAAACTAATAACAATCAAACAGCTTCGAGTTGCTAGAGTAAGTACGATAAATCTCCAATTCCCGCGCATTTATCAGTCTTCCAGCTTTCTGCTTTTTCCCCCCTCCCCCTCCCCCCTTTTATTTTGCTACAGTCAGAACACGTTGATTTCATCGATCTATGCGGCCACGTGAAAAAAAGAAAAAAAAAAAAAAACAAATCAGGAGAAGGCAAACACGTTAAATATGATAACAATGATATCATTAACATTAAAATAAATATAAAAAAGATCGTGACAATAAAATTATGATAATTTATAACATAGAAATATATTTCTTTGCTCAATATATATAATTTTAAATGTTTCATTATAAGTTATTAATTTAGAAATGTAAACACTTTTCAAATAAAGATAGCCATAATATAAATTACTTAAATATAATTCTGCTAACATAATCTATATTAAAAAATCGCTCAGTAGAAACGCGCCATTTCAATATGGCGTCAGTTGAATAGAATTTGAAATAATGAAGATAATACACAGATATTAGCATAATTGTCTCGTAAAAAATATCTATTTTTGAAACTGAAATTATCAACTAATGAATTATAATTTTAAATAATAAATAATAAATTTTTACGTAATATTTCAAATCATAGTATAATGTCTTCTTTGTTATCTCTGTTATCTACTATGATTTGAAATAAAATATTATAATTCGAGAAATGTGTAATGTTTTTAGAAACAAAGCCGTGTCATTTTTTTAATATGGAAAATGAGATAAAGAATGAAATATTATGGATATGTCGTTGATTATTTCTAGTCACTCTTTATCATTTAAAAAAGAAATTGAATTACGCTTTCTAAATACTTTTTTGGATTTTCTAACTATCTTCTCAATGAAATTTAATTTAAAAAATTAAAAATGATTTATTATATATCTGAAAAAATATGAAATAGTTTCTATTTTAATTTTATTTGAATATCACCGGAGTATAACCATAGTAACGGTTTTGAAAAGAAAATTATGATCTTTTCGTCCAAAAATCGATTACAATTGCATATCCTAAAGAAAATTTCTACTATTTCAAAATGAAAAATTCAATTTTTAATTGAAACAAATAACATTAGCATTGATACAACTACATATATTTCTCTTAGAAACATCTTCGCCGCCTCAGACCTGTCAAAACGTGCGCATGCGTCGAAGAGGGAAATGAAACAACAGGGAATGTCATTGACCCCGAGTGCATGTATCTAACAAGAGGTTAAGGTTAATTTTATCGCTCTATGGCGAAAAATACTTCCTTCCTCTATCGATGTGGAATTCTACATACTGCATCAAAAGGAAAGTTGTTGATCCTTCACATCTTCTATAAATAATATAACTATGTCCGATAATTTATCTACACACACACACATATATATATATATATATATATTATAGTCCGATATCTAAATTTTTTATGAAATAAAAATAATGACTTTCAATCATATGTTTCGCCTTAATGAAGAAAAACTATTAAAGATGATTGAAAATTAAAAATATTTTAGATAAATTAATTCCATAATTAAAGATATTATATGGATAATCAAAAGCTATATAATTAGATATAAATTCGTTAAATTTGAATGGAAGTATCGATTCCTTTTTAAAAGATTCGAACTTTTTCGTAAAAAATGTTGAAGATATTTTTGAAAATAAAAAATTAATATATATATATATATACTTGAAGTACGATTGAATTCCATGATAACTAAAAACTTCTGAAAAATAATCTAGTTTATATATAAGTTCTATCTAGTTCAATATCACGCGTAATTCGAAAAGCTAATAATATATGAAGCTAATATATATTAATTTGCATCAATTGTTTATTATTAAAGTTAAAATTTCCGGTCATTTCACAAGAATAATATAATCCATTGAAAATCCTGGCACCGATTATCTTCGTGTTCATCTTTAATGATGAAATGATATCTTGTATTTTTCAATTTTTACTTACCCTTAAAATCGTTGATTCCGCTTCTCCAATAATTATTCCCATCGATTACACCAAATAAGTATCCCAAACTTGTGATTTTTTTAGCACGTCCGCTACACTGTGGATACACTGCACAGACACATTCGTCACAATGCACAATTAATCGAAGAAAAACCAGGGTCTCTAGATCCAAAAAGAGACGAGAAAACACTTTCCACTTTGCTAGACACCCGCGTCACTCATTGGAAGATTCCATATCATCTTTTCATCACCGTTCACAATCGCGAATCGCGAGACCGATTTCATGGAAAATCAAATTCAAGAAAATTCTTAACCTCGTCGTCTTCTGAAATTGTTTCGGGAAGATAAGGTGCATCTAGGAAATAATTCTAGAAATTTTCCTACAAATTAAATGATAAATATTCAAATGTTTTGGATTTCTGCCTCGAGCATCTCTTAAATATCTTTGAAATACCGTAATATACGATCGTATTGGAAATTCACTCTTTGAACACCATATTTCTGTTAACCAAATTGATTGCAGAGCAACTCAAAATATCACAAAAGAAATGATACATAAGTGTAATTGAAAACGAAGAAATCGTAAAAAAAACGTCGTATGATGGAACACATACTCATTTTTTCAAAGATATAACTGCGTTAGAAGCGAACTTCGTCAATGACAGCGACAGACTGCGTGCCGTGGGACGCCAGCTGAACCAGCGAACGAACCCAGACATGGACGGTGGAACGAGGACGGGAGGAACGGAGGAACGAGCGAAACAGCGGACTATCAAGCTTGCACCTTTGCTCCCCGACAACGATCAACCGCGATCCCGGCTGCACTTGGTGTTCCACACGCGTCGGCCCTCACATCATCTTTTTCATAGGGGGCTTGAGGGACGGGGAGAAGAGGGTGCTGCTTACCCGGTACACCGGGGATTTCATTGGCCCCCGCATGATGCAATACACTCTGTCGGGATGAATCTTCACAGATCCCATAAACCTGTAACACGGATTATTTAAAGATGATATAGAGAATTTAGAGTGAAGCAGTAAGACGAGAGAATACATGATTTTTGTTCTAGAATTACGTAGCTGTAGATACCACAAGGATAAAGAAGGAAAATCTCATCCTACTTCCGGAGACGAGGTCGAAGTATTCGTGCGGAAAAACCGAACGACGGGGTCAGACGACCGGGTTCAGTGACACGGAGAGAATTTGCTTTTCCGTGGGGGTGGAAAGTGGAGGAACAGAAACAGAAGATTGAGAGGGGATGGCTATTGAATTGGCTGGACAGAGAAGTTAGCAGGAAAGAAAACTCGATACGATAAACGTACTTACACGCTAGCACGAATTCGGCGCGAAGGAGAACGAAAACGAAGCTGAACGTTCGTATAGTTGCAGAGAGCTTCGAGGTTGTCTCGGAGACGCACATGGTTACCTCCTTTCTCTTTCTCTCGCTCTTTTTCTTTCTCTATCTAGTCTTTGCCCTCTCACCCTCTTTCAGTCGGTGGTCTGTCGCGTTCCGTCTCTGTTTCTCGCAGCTCTCCGTTTAGGCCGTGCGAAATTCAGTGCCAGTGGCGTAACCAGTGGGGGACCATCGACCCCACTCTACATTGCTATAGTCTAACTCTTACCCCTCCCTCGTGCAGCTGGCCAGCGTTGCCACTTGCCAATGGCGTTGCCAGCTCGTTGCAACCGAGTGGGAGACAGCCTCCTCCCCCCTGTTATCCCACCTAAGGTCGACTTAGAAAATCAGTCAACATGCGACGAAAATCCCGCCCGCCACATCGTTCCGACCCTAATTTTTACCGATAGCTATTTGCTTGCCTTTTCTCTTAATGAGCAATACATAAGAACCTTTTAAGAGGAAACAGATAATTCTTTTTTAAAGAATTCAGAATCGAAAGAAAGAATATTTATGCTATTCTATTTATCGGATGCACATTTTTTTTTGAGCATTTTCTTTCTTTTAAAATTATTAAATTTTTATAAATTAAAATATATTCATTCATAGGATATTTTTCAAACATCAAATTAAATATTGCAGTTATTTCATCCTATAAACAAAAACCAAATATTCTTAGATATCCTATTCAATTTTTAAATTTGATAATTATACTTAAAAATTTATGATCTTGAAGAATATTTCTTAATTTGTACTAACGTGAAAATATCATAATATTCATAATATTTCATGATGAATTGATGTAAGAATGATATATTACTACTGAAAGATTTTACTTTCTTGGATACCGAACGGACCAGTCTCTTCTTTTACGGGGAGCTACTGCTGGATATATGTGAGTATGCTGGCTCTCCACACAGATACAAATACACGCATACGTACACATAGTGCGTTCACACGAAAGCTTTAAAAGTGCAACGGACGATATCTCATGCTGTTGGCTGCATATATGTAGTGGGGGTGGTGGAGGCCGACATGGCGGACAGTTTTCTGGAACGTGCACCAGCTTGCTTCTACCAATTTTCTTCCTTCGACTGGTCTGCCTTTCAATCTTTACCTCCTTCCTTCCATCTTTCCATATTCCTTCATCTTCCTCTCTTGTTTTCTTATTTCTTGAGAAGCAGCGACTGAGATTGAAACATGAACATCTATTGAATTATATTTGTTTTTATCCGAATATTATCAGCAACAAGATAAATAGTTGCTTATAAAAATTTTAATCAAATACCTTGTTTGTGTAATATTTATGATATATAAAATGTGACATTCATTAAACTTTTTTCGTTCAAGTTTAGGTTAAGAAAAAAATTAATCGATGTTAAAGATCATAGACGAAGGATCATAAAGTGAATCCAAGAGGGCCGACCCTTTAGTATGTTAAATATTTGTCGTCACAGGCTTCATTACTCTCGAAAGGTTGATCAAGGGGCCGCGGAGAGGCAGCAGGAGTCAAGAAGCAGAAGAGCCAAGTGTCGGCGAAGGTGTGCAGGCCTAAACTTTAATTCATACGAGTGAATATCGCTCAATCAAGCCGAGAAGATTTCGTCGATTACGCTTTATTGCTTCCTTCCATCAATCTTCCATTTATTCTATATTTTATATCTATTTCAAACATTCCTAATGATTAGATTCAGTTATAATGTATTATCCCCAAATTTTATAAAAATTTACAAATTTAGAATTTTTTACCAATCAACATGATTACTAGCTTCGTGCTACCAACTTAATCATAGAATAGACTATCTATGTTCTAGCTGCCATACAACATTATGTTTGATATTCATTAAATACAGGAACATGAATTCCCACTAACGAGAGAATTTAAATAATTCCCAAGATTATAATATTCTTTCATTCCCCTCCTCTTCTGTTTCGACACTGTCACGAATATATAATCGAGTAAAATGAAAGAGTAAAGCGAGTCAGTATGTATCAGACAAAGACAAATAGTCTGTATAAGAGAAAAAGAGAGAGAAACAAAAAGTCAGGGAGAAGGGGAGAGCGAGTGCAGTTCTCGCGATCCAGCGTGCGTTGCACTCCGCACGAAAAAACATCGTCCGGGCGGGTCGAGGAAAGAGGAGGTGGGTCTTCGTGCATCTTCGGTCCGCGTCGGAGCTTATATTGATCACGAGAGAGTGCACGATATTCGAGAATACATTATACGCGGACTCTAGCCTAGCCGGACTGCCTATAGTCACGCGGAGTATAGGCGACCAGGCCGCTGCACTCTACTTCCCCCTCTGACAACCCTTCCCCTACCCGCCACGGCGACTTGATCCCCGCCCCTCTTGATTATCTATCTGTCTCTATCCAATGCACTTCTGTTTCTTCTTCTTTTTCTTATTTTAACTGAACCTCCAATCTAGCGATGGACATTCGCTTCTTTCTCTATACCGAATTTTTGAACGATTTTTTATGATAAAAAATTTCGTTAAATTTTTAATTAAATTTGCAGTTTCAATTATATATGGGTAGTTGTAGTTTTTTGGTTTTCTTGAAATTCTTGAAATTCATTGATAGTAATATAAAGTAAATAATAAATAAATGATACGAAATGACTTTTCGGTTTTATCAGTAGCAGATCTCATCCCTTACCCTTCAACTTTTCCTCTTAAATATGGCTATTTGCATATACAAAGCTAAATTATTCGTTTCATCTTTCCGTTTCATCTTTCATCTTCTTCTTCCTTTCTTTGCTTTCCTCCCCAATTCTCTTTGTCATATACTCCCTACATCTTGTACGTCTTTTATCGTTCTTTTTCTTTCCGTCGGCAACTCGTACGTTCTCCAGTCGCTATTTTTCTTGTTTTCTCTCGATTGGTTTTTTACTTGTGCCACCCCCATTGATATCAATTTCTCTGCATTTTCTTCTTGAATTTATAATACAAGCAGATCATCATTTCTCTAATTGCATAATTGCTACAAAATCATTATCAACAAGTTCCACATGAACATACTCCATAAATAGTAAAGTCTTCCTCTATAAAATGTTATCGTATTATCAGCAGACTGGCTTCCATAGAATCTTCAGAGTGGAGCTATGGAGCAGACTCTCCTGAAGCGCGGGTATTAATCCAGAAGGTTCTTCGTAGCACCCCCCGGGAGTCTCCCCACTTGTAGAAGAGATGACGATGCCGATGGAGGGGATCTGAGTAGAAAGAGGAGAAAGGGGCGGGGTGCGGGTAGGGAACTGCTGGCGGATATGCACGGTAGGGGCAAGAGAGGACCTTGGCCTTTTCGCGGGGCAAAAATAAAACCTGTTGACACCGAAGCCCCGCGGACGCAAAGGAACCTCTCTGTCCCCTATCCTCAACCAGTTTTCAATATCCCTCTTAAATATTCGCGTGCTAATTCTTCTCAGACTACATAATTTTTGAATTTGATATGTAGGTTAAACATATATAACATACATAAATTACTAGTAGTTTTATGTATGTTAGCAAAAGTTCCAAGTTACTCTAAAAATAAAATGAGATATAAAGGACACGTTACATTAAATTGAGATTAAAGTGAAATGTATTTATATTTTGAATACCACCACAAATTTGCAGAATTCTTAGAAGCAATTTCATCATAGCTCTATCTCGTACGTGCATTCCTTTTTTTCATATTGATCATCTCGTTTCCAGTTTTAACTTCCATGAATTTTTCTTTCAACACTTCAGTATCTACAGAATATATAAGTACTTTCTTTAAATTTCGTTTTTATTTATTTAGGTTTTAATAATCTTTTGTTGCAAACAATTCCTCCAATATTTTGAAATTTTTTTTTATTTAGAATTTCATAGCTATTCTATATACCTACTTAATCAGATCGTCATCTTTTGGGAAAATTTGCATTATTCAAAATGATACAAAGTGTTACAAACAACAATATCTGATCCTGATTATTTCACTTCTACAGCAGCTACTCCGCTCTGCCGTTTGGTTTCTATGTATTTGCGTGTAAGTATACGATACTCGAGCATGCACCTTGCCATGACTAGACAAGCCAGAGACGACGAGAAACGGCCTCCGGTAACCTCAACCTAGCTATAAAGAAACACCACCATCTCTATATGTATATCGTTCTACGCGAAAAAAAGCAATATAAAATGTATGAATCTAAATATATCAGATTATTAATTGATGTTTTCTTTTTTTTTTATTAGAAAATTTTGTTTGAAGTATGATGAAGAATTTAATCAAAGTTAATCAATGATAATTAATTATTATTAATTTAATAAATTAAAAATAAAAATAAAATTTATATGTATAATATTACATATAAAATAAATAATTAATATCATTAAATTGTTATTCTTATTAAATATTATGAAAATATAATATTATTTAACCTAAATTCAATTTATCAAAAATACAAATAGACGAAAAACACAAATAGTCAATAGAAAAAGTAATATCGAAATGAATATCTTCCCATAAAAATATACCTGTCTATCGAACATAGGAAATGAGCTTACATAAAAAAAATATGATTCTTCTGCAAAGTTGAATGATTCCCAGTAAGAAAAAAAATTACGCACATCTGCGCAATCACAGTATGTATAAGTGTATGCACTGTGCAAGATATCAATACACAACTTTGTGAATCTTCACCGATATAGAATAACTCTATGTTCCTTGATTAGACAGATCAGAAACAGATAATGACGTATCAATATATTTCTTTTTTTTTATAATGCATTTCCCATATTTCACATGTTTTCTATTTGTAAATTTAAATGATAATATATGAAAATGATATGAAAATATAATTTAAAAATTATAAAAAATAAAATTATTGATAAAAATGAACAACTTTGATAAATAATCAATGGAGAAATATCTAAAGAAAGGGCAAGTCTGACAAGCCATATTAGAAAAATTCTCATTTAATTCACAGCCAATGAAAATCCAGGTTGGGCTTCATGAAAAATTCTTAAAGGGAAAGGGTTACGCCTATCAATCTCAGAAAACCTTAGAATAGCTAACCCAATGGAAGGGATCTGCATCCGAGAATTAAGATATAGGTAAGTACATAAGCTAAATAATGAAAGAAAATTAAAAAATAAGCTATTTTTAATAACTGATCTTTCTTTCAAGAAAATTTGTAAAACTTCCTATAATAAAAAATTCGAAACGCAAATAAAAATGATAATAAAATGTTACCATAGGAATGAATAATAAAATGTTTTAAAAATATTAAAATATTTAACCGTCATTGTTGGTTCATTCCTGATTATAAATAGCTTTTACTCTATAAATGTAGTTGAGAAAAAGAGAATATCCAAGACAAAAAGTAAGTGGAAAGAAGCACGGAAAAGAGGAACAAAAGGGAGAGAGAGAACCTTGGCCCACAGGCCTACTGCAGCGCTGCAGCTTGCTTGCAATGTGCCTCCACTGCTCTGCCATTCATGTGGGAAACACCCTAGTATTCGTTCGTCGTGGGGCTGGGCCAACAACCGCCGGAAAAATTTCTCTTTCGATGCACTGCAACGGCCCCGCCCCATGCGCCAAGGTATGGGGAAGAAAAGTTTGGAATAGATGGTGCAGGCTGGCCCTTGCAATGTCCGTCAGTTTTCTTGAGATGGAGATTCTATGAAAGATCGAAAATTACATTCTAGACTAATGTCAGGCTCGATTTATTTGAAAAAAACAATAGAGAAAAACAAATTACAAATTTAAAATTGTAATAAATAATTTTTTTAAAATTATTAATTATTAAATATTCATAATAAGATAATAATAAGTAATAAGATATGAAATATAGTTAATGATATAATTTTGATAGATTGAAAAAAATAATTGTATAAATTGATCAATTGCTAGAATCGTTAATTACTATCATCGTTAATTATTACCAATTATATTAAAATAATTATCATTTATTTTATCATTTATTTTTCAATCAATTTATTATTTTTAAATATTTTATGCTTTTAAAAATTATCACTTTTTTAAATCTATTTTCAAAATGCAATATATATGATGCAATGTAAATAGTCACATATGTATCTATTGATAATGAAACTGATCATATGACTTCACTCTTCTATGTTTCATTTGTGTAATCTATAAATTCTTCTCGTTTCATTAATCTCGTATGATTGAATAATTCGATAATATTATACTTCAACATTGATAATATAACTTGAATTTGTCCATCATCGTTTGCCATATTTGGATCACTCGAGAGTCATAAGCAATGATAAATGGATCGATAAAAATCGATTTTCAGTTATACGAGTAACATGTTAATCGATACTCAGAAAAGCATTCTATTTATACCTACTTGGAAATAAGAATTTGTATCTTTTCAAATATCATTTTTAACTTAATGGCGAACATTTTATTGTTAGAAAATATTTTATTTTATTTGATATAATAGGAATCAAAAAATAAATATTTTCGATTATTTTTAAATATAACTCGAAATATATCGAAATTTAAAAAGTTCTTGTTAACTATCAATATGGTAATATCGATATCCGAATTACGATTCTTGGAGGGTGCTGCCACCAAGACAATTAATATTCAAACAGTGAAATTAATATTAAAAATTCATATTACAACATGTAAGTAAATTATATTTATTTAAGTAAATATCAATTTCTAATAAAGTAAATTCACTTCCATTATTCTTCTTCGAATTGATTCGCATACTGAACTTGATCCCGTTGCTTTTCATTATTTATCAAGAACGCGTGCTAAAATCAAACGGCAGGAAACAGCGGAAGTGCAAATTCTGATCTTTACCTCTATAGTGCGGTTAAAACAGGAACATTGTTGCATCCTATGGATCCGTATGTAGAAAATCCAATGACATAGGAAATAGCAGAGAAAAAAAATGTGATGAAGTAAGTATATATCCTATATCTATCACACACCGTTCGTTCGTACGTCAGGTCGCCGCTCCCTGAGAGATCACTGCCCTCACGCATACCCGGTGCCTTTTCTCGTTTCTTCGGCCAGTCGTCGTCGTGTCTCTCTGCCTCTACGACGGGGACCAGGGACGTATCGTCAAATCGACATACCCGTCACAAATATTCACATGAATTTTTATATAATTTATTTAGAACACTCTTTAATTTTAAGTTTATTTGTGAATGAAATAAACATTGCCTCAATCAAAGAATAAATTAAAAGAATCGTAGCAGTTTTAACAGGATGTATACAGAATCTTGAGGTAGGATTTATCAATTGTTGCAGAAATATCAGAAATTCGAGTATGTATTTGAAATATATTTCTATACTAACACGTATAGATTTAGACAGTCAATAATTTCTTGAATATCGGCCATTGTTCGCGAATACTTTGTTCTCATCACTACTGATCGCAAATTTCTTTCTCGAATCCAAATTTCAAGATAATCAGGCTATTTCAACAATCTAATGAATAATTTGCATCAGATGCATTAATATCACTCGCGAATAAGCAAGTTTTTTCGCAGGAATTCACGTAAAATAAAGAGCATGTAACTCAGAAATCCTTTTCAACGGAAGTTACACTATTTGTCCACGTATCGTCAAATTCACATACTCGAACCGTGTCTCCTTCACGAATTCGAGGCACACAGACTGGCAGTCGATTGCAAAAAGCCCTTCTTTTCGCGACGGAAAGAACAAGGGATCTAGAAACCCTACCCCCCGGGGCACGTGTACATGTATACGGGCTGCATGTCTAGCGCATACCACAATTCACAGACATATATGTGCACGAAGGGGAAACTGACGAACACGAACCGGCAACGAGACGACGATTTCCACTATTTCGCCGGCACGCGTGGCAAACTTGTTTAGCAAGCGCAACATCGCCATCTGTATCGCGAATCTCGCATCACGATTGTCGCGAATTGACCGAGAAGCAAGATTCATTTCTGATAGATACTTTGCGCTTGCGCAATTATTGATTAAAAAATCGCGAATTTATATCATTTTTACGTTAAATAAAGAACATAACGTTAGTCATATTTATAATGAAATTTATATTATTTAATAATAAATAATTTTACGATGTTTAAAAAGAATATCTTATGATGAAAATTCACTTTAATTTTCCATTTCATTGATTTTTCCTATGAAATTTTTGAATAGTTAATAAGGATAAAAAAGGACATTTTGATCGGAAGATTCATGATGTACAATAATTCATTTGTGACAAACAATTTTTACAATGGAAATCGGATAGTTGGTGAGAAATTTTATATAATTTATTAATATCAGTGAATTTGTTAAGTTTTTTGAAAAGTTTATTTAATGAAGTTATATTAATAATACGATTTTCAATTTTTAAAAATTCGTAAATTCCAAATATGATGAAATCTTTTTTAAAGATAAACAAATAGAAAAAAAACAATGCATAATTTTTAAATATAACGGTTTTTTTGCTTTAGACTTTTTTTTTTCCGATTGCCTGAATATGGTCAATTTATTAACGTTGTTATTTTCTCTTTTTTTTTTTTTTCTGTAGAGGTAAGAACGGAAACTACAATACGACACAAGAAAAACCATTTGATTTGTTCATTTTTTCCCTTAATCTTTGTTACTTTTTATTGGTATGTAATACGTATAATAATATATATTTATATATATTATATTCGTCCATATCGAATATATTAATATTTTATCAGTTTTTTCTTTCCATAAATTAAATAAATAACTCTTGACTATGATATTATTAAACAAAATATTTTACAAAAGTAAATAGCTGTAGATTGCCAGGTGTTCAGTGAAGGAGTGAGGATAGATGTATTTTTTTTTACTATATCGTCTATTCAAAAGTAACTAGACATCCGAAGCGCTTTTTTTTATTCCGTATACGTGATCTTTGGCGAAGTCATGATTTTCTGTTTCATATTACTTCAAATATCAAATATACTATATGTATTACGTATTATATATTTTTTTTTATGTTAAACCTATCTGGCAAATCTCGTTTTCGAAACATGATTATTTATTTCATACAAAAAAAGTAAAGAAACTATATAGAGAAAAATAGGGAAAAGTGTAAGAAAAAAAAAGTGATGAAAATTCAAAAAAAAAAAAAAATGACAATTCCAGGATTCTGGTACGATCTTCTGCTTGTAACTTTAACTTCTGAAAATGTTTGTTCATATTAAGCATCTTATTAACTTCCAGAGGACTAATTCATAACAAACCTCTGTATCGGAAAATGCACTAAAGTGTCTGGTTTCTAAAGAAGCCGAAGTAAAAATGACTGGACCACGATGAAATATATCTAACCACGAAGAAAAACAAAATTTTGGCTTTAATGGAACATGATTATCGCCAATAGTCACACAATACACACACGATCCGTTTTTTATGCTCGATAAAAACGACCTCAACGTTCAATGTTTAGTCGCTTTTCAATACCACACGATAAAGTATAGTTTCACTTATTATTAATTTTTTCTTTTCTCTTTGTCGGTTTTCTTTTTTATACTATATGCTGGACTGAGGTATTGAGAGGCAAGATGGTCGTTTTTTTCATATTCTAAGCATGGCGTAAGGTTACAAGTGAGAGCTGTGAGGCTGCTGCTCGTAAAACAGTACGTAGGCTTCGTTGGAAACGACCGATCGCGCTGGAACCGCGGACACCCGGCTATCATTATACTCGTGCCACTCTGCCGAGTATGGATGCTTACAATATGCTGTGTAATGACCGGAGTGTGTTGTGCCCGAATGGTTCGCGACACCGTATAAATTGTACGTACAACCCGGAACTCTAGGCGCAGCAAAGGCACTGAGATCCAAACCTGTCAATGGAAAATCTACCATCACATTTAGCTTGCTGCGGAATCGTTCCATTGGTGAGAAACGTTTTAAGTCTATATAGTATTTCATTAAGGAAATAATGAAAAAAATAATACAATTTTATTTTTGGATATTAAAAAGATATTAAAAAGAGTTGAATTAACTATTAACTTACAATGTAATAGTTGATAGTAAACAAAATTGAATGAACTTGTATATTTTCTGTGATTTAACCGTGATTTTAAATTATAGAAAAAGGATACGAATAACAAGAATTTTCGGGAACTTTTGTATGCTGAAACTTTTCGTGCACTTCCTCCTCATCTGACATTTGGAACAAGTCGGTTTTTCATCACCATCGAGCACCTCTTCTCGCGTGAAATGTTCCAAACATTGGCTCAATTTCACTGTACCACTTCTAGCCGGTATTGGCAAGCTGAGATCCCAGAAAGGATCTAATGTGACTGATACATGGTCACAAGAAGTGCAATGCAACGACGAACGCAATTGACCCACGAAAACGTCCACTATCATACTATCTTCACTACGTAAGTAGCGTTTCCAACTTTCTACTGCCTTCTGACTATCTCTATTTATAGAAAGAAATGAAAATTAGTGTATAATAGAAATCTTAATTAATTGTCAGATTTCTTTCTTGTGTGCATTCTCTTCATAGATAAAAATTCACTTACGTGTACATTTCAGGAATATCCGTGTGTATCGGTTGTGGTTTTACCGTCACCCTATTCACATCTTCATGCAATCCTTCTAATAGATATCTAAGAAACTCTTGAGCATCCTGTTGACTATATCCCATAAAACGTGGCGCGAATCTTTGTATTTGAGATTTGAGGGCCGTCGTATTAACCACGAGATCACCACCCACTTCCCATAACTCATGTATCACCTGACTAAACGCTTTGATCAATGCTCCTTTCATACTGCTTGTGGTAGTGTTTATATCAGCGAGGTACTGTTCGTTCAGCAGATATTCCAGTAACGGTCTCGTATTGCTCAAACATTGGATCACACTGTTCATAAAACACTGTAAAAAAATAAAAGTATTAGTAAGAAAATTTGTTCCTTTATTAATTATCGTTAATTGAAAACATAGCTTTGTAAAAAAAATTTCCAAAAACCTTTGTTAAAAAAAAAAAAATAAGAATCAATTTCAATTTTGGACATATAATTCATAATTCTTAATCTATTCATAAATATACATAGTCCCATATACTTACTGTATTCCCTATATTTCGTAATCCGTTTAGTCCACATCGCTCATCGCGATGCGCCTGTAATCGATTACGAGCCGATTTGTTCGTAGGGCTTCCTTCCTGTAAGATAGAAATCAATGTTATTTTTTTTTTTAAATTCTAATCTTATTTTTGTAGGATTCTACAGAAGACAAAAACCGTCAAATATCGTCGCGTACGCTGTTCTAAGCACGGCTAGTTATATTTCTTTAGTGGTGGCGGTGTCTAGCTTGCGGTACAAGAGCATGTCATATGAATACATGTACACGTACGTATACACATACACGCACACACGATACACACATACATATACACACGCGCACACATATACCACGAAGTCGATATAACCTTAGGAATACGTGCTATGCAGAAAAATCGATTAGCTTTAGACAGATTATATAGATTAGTAATATGCATCATTGGTTTTAAAAGATAAGAAATTCCACACAGTACGTACATTTTTTTTTGATGTGTTTAATCTCAGCGTATGGTTTGTTCCAAATGTATGTCCAATATAATATATTCAGAAAAGGAAAGACAGCGTAAATATCTAACAGGTTGAATAACCGTGAAAAAACAGTGCACAACGACATCGATATCATTGCCCGGAACTAATATTCTTCTTATCTCTTTTTTCATATTTTCCATGGATACTCACCTTCAAACAAATGGCTGGAGGCTGGAGAGTAGCGCGCGTGGTCACTATGGAATTGCCGAACTGTATTGTATACACACCGGAAGAGACATGTTTCTGGGTCGTCAGAGGAGCCGCAACACCCAGCAGGAACGCGTACACGAACATCAAAATAATTATTACCCACACGCACCACAACCCCCAGCCTATCAATTGGATATAAGCCAGTTTACACGTTATAACTCGACTGCATGACGCATTTCAAGAAGCGCCAGTTCCTGCGTATCAAGTAATTTATATTCAATTTTTTTTTTTTCTCTCCATCTTCATATTCATCCGTATCAATTATATCGCGAAACATATTTAACGAACAAATCGGTTGTCATATCGTTGGAAATATTTTAAATTTATGAAAATAGAGATTTAAAAGCGACACGAAAATCAACGTAGTCACAGTCATATGAAAATCGAACAAAACTTTCTGCTGTTAAATGCGAATTTCTTCGTATATATTCAAAGATATCCTATTTAGATAGTTTTCTCTCACTTCATGGCCATACAGAACTGGCACACTATTCGTTGTCATTGACGATAGAGATGGCTCGTGTCGTGAAGAGATGCATATCGCTCACTGACATTCCCCACGCAGAAATGGTGTAGCTTCTAGCAGCGGATGAACCAAGATAAACTTGTACTATGTGTATATACGCGTAAGTACCCCGACACACAGAACACCCGTTATTACTAGGTACCGTTATGTTATGAGACATCCGTTGATCGCCGGTTTACTCTCTCTTTTTCTCTCTCTCTTTCCCCTTCCCGGAGAGCTCCGATCTATTAATAAAAGGCAGCTCTCGCGACTAACCATCGAACAGAGTTGTGTATGCTCGAAGAAAAACATGAACGCGTTTCGTAACACGCATACTAAACGAGCAATGAAAGTACATACATAAGCTAACGTTTCAACATAACGTTGTCCCTCCTTTTCCATTTACCACCACTATTATGTACTTTATATATATATACATATATATACATATATATATATATATATATATATATATATATATATATATATATATATA